CCTCGTCGGAGGGCCGGCTGGTCGGCTTTCTCAGCTCTTTAAGTACCTGTAGGTTCTTGCTGGTATTTTCCAGATGGATAATTGGGGCTGGTCCCAATCCCGCAGAGAATAGGTTAGGGAAGCTGTCTGCTTTTCTTCGAGTTTCCTTGCGGGGGAGGTAGTCACTACTGTGCTTCAGTCTTTGGACCTTGCTTGAGCTGCACATGGTCACTCCTGCGCCTCACAGATAACGAGAATCTAATCCCTGTCTTTTGTGCTTGTTCCATCAGGGGTCTGCAACGCCCTTTCCCTGGAAATTAAAGCCAGTCCCAAAGTGCGAGCTTTCGTTGGGGAACAAGTATTACTGAAATGCTCATTCAAATCCAGTTCTCCCATCGCTGAGAGCCTGACGGTAGACTGGTCTTACCGGCCCCTCGCAGGTGGTCAGATGGAGACTGTAAGTGGAACAGGGAGTCTCTTTCTGGCGCAGACTGCCCGGCTCTCTGTGCGTGCTGAAAATCTGATGATCCTTTTTCCGTTTGCCTTGCTGTGCTGCTTCATCGCTTTGGGGGTTGGGACTCTCATCGCCACCTTCTTTCTCGTGTGAAATTGCTTTACTGTTCTTTGAGCAGAAGATACTCTGTGTAAATGCATAACAGCCTGGTGACGATAAAAGTAGATAAACTTGGGGTTTTGACACAAGCGCTGCATTGTATGCCGTAGCTATGTACGGAATGACTGAAAAGGATTTGGTTGTTGGCTTTCTTGAAGGCAGCTGTCCGCTAGTAGTTCTGTCGTGCGCTCTGCTGCCGAGACCTCTTGCAGCGGTAAGCACGTGTGTGCGATGGCAGTGAAGATGACGGCCTCTAAAGCTTACGGGCTGCTGCTTGCCGCTTTGTTGGCAGTGTTTTGCGATCTAAGCCTAAACAGGTAAGGCTGGAAGCCCACTGGAAAGCCCTTAATCAAGGTGGAAGCAGAAAATGTGCATCTTTACAGATTGCCAGTGACTTCTGCTGCCCGAAGACTCTGACCTCTGGGGAGCGTCCTTGTACCTGGAACAAGAAGGTGGTGCTTGTATGAAGTGAGCTCTCCTAAGTCTCTGCTCGTAGGATAGCAAGAGCAAAAGTGCAAGAAGTAAAAGCTGAGGAACTGCAGTGTTCTGTCTTGCACGAGCCAAGAAGCCTGCTCTGCTTCTGGACTGAAGATCTGAGGAAGGGAACAAGTTGGTCAGAATGGTGATGGTGACGGCCGAGAGCTGAGGCTGGTAGATAAAAGCGCCAGAAGTCTAATGAAACGGGACTGACTCAGAGTTTTAAAATTGGGCCTTGGGAAGGTCTCCTGTATGTATTTCTGACTTCCTAATGTGTATTCCTTTATGTTTACAATCCAGACAGTAGTTTACTTTGCTTTCTTAGATGCGAGTTTTATTAGTACAATTGCTGTCTTTGCCTCCTTTTAGGTTTTTCATTATCAGTCTGTTCCATACCCAACGACAGCGGGGAAGTTCAAAGACAGGATCTCCTGGGCTGGGAATGTTGCCAAGGGTGATGCTTCCATTGCTGTCCAAAGCCCCGTGATGAGTGACAATGGGACGTTCATCTGCAGCGTGAAGAACCCTCCGGACGTGTACCATAACATTCCCCAGACCGTGCTGATAGTTACGGAGAGGGGTAAGCCTCCATTTCAGCAGCGCGTCCTCATCTCGGTGAGGCAGCTGCCTTGCAGCTCTGTCAGCATCTTAGAAGTCTGAGCATCGCGTGGGAAGTGGATTCCCTGGAGTCCCACGTTAGAATTTCAGCAAGGGTTACCCCAGCCGTTCTTTCTGGGCCGAATACATGGAGAAGTACGGAATTTGTTTGGGGCAGGAGGGGGCAGAGGAAGCTGTGGTGATTACGGAAATCGAAAGCGTGCGTTTGTTCAGGGGTTCAGGTCTCCACAAGTTGCAGCACTAGAAGGAAGGGGTTAAACGTTTAGGAAATACTTGCCTGGTGCTGGTCTGAAAGTAACTGTCACGTCAGGAACGCCGATTCTCAGCAGTACCCGATTTCCTCGTCTGCCCTGTGCGGGAGGCCCGCCCCGCATTTGCAGCCTAGACGGGCTGATAGAACTGTGTCGTGGCCTGCCCGCCTCTGCGGGTTTTTGCCCGTGAATCACCCTGCTGCGCCGGGTATGCGACAGGAGACCTACAGCTCCAGGGACAAGCTGTTTCAAATCTGCCAGCTCTGTGCCTTGTACGGAAAGGCTGGCAGCCCGTGTCCGGGGTGAACGGTTGTCACAGAGCCTTAGGAGAGCCGGATTGTACTGCTGCTACAGCGGGGCTGCTCTTTGTCTTCCCTGCAGGCCTTTCCTTCCAGTTGACCTCAGCGGTGCTGCTCTCCATCTTAGTATTTCTCCCTTCCGTCCTCGTGGTTGTTCTGCTGCTGGTGAGGATGGGAAGAAAGTTTGGAGTGCTAAAGGCGAAAAAAAAACCTGGCTATAAGAAATCCTCCATCGAAGTGTCTGATGAGTAAGTTCTGGCTGGCACCTAAAGCCTGTGCTTCTGCTCGGGCCTGTTGGCACAGGCCAAAGGACGGTTTCTCCCCTGTCCTTCATTCCCTAGCTCTCAGTGTCTGCAGTTTGGTCACTGAAATCTACTTCTCCATGAGCATAATTTAACCGGCGGTCAGAAGGCTTTGGAAAATCCCCATGTTGGAGCATAAACTGAGTGCTGTACATCCCCCTTTTTCTGTGCTTCGTGTGAGGCCGTGGAAGCGAAGCAGTTCAGGGTTTGACAGTCTTTCACTTCTGTAATTGGATTTATTTCAGCCTGTATCAGCAAGATGTTTTGCTTACGCAGGCTTTCTGTGTTGCGTTTTGGTGTGAGCTGTCCGTAACAACACCGCAAAATGAGTAACGCCAGCCGGCTCCCCTGTGAGGGCCTGAGCAGAGATGCCAGGTCCTGAGTGAGCCGTGGAGACTGAATTCCCTTCGGAACCGGAGAGGGTTCTGTTCTGGGAAGGCTCAGTAGTGAGAACAATGAGGTAGCACTGCTACTGCTGGACCTGCACCTGGTTTTGCGATGAATTCGGTGCTAAAATTTCTCGCAGAATGGGTTTTTAATACTGTGTTACGATTAATGTTGTAAGGTTAGCTGGCCAAATAGCAACTCTTGTTGTGTTGCCGCCGGCGCTTCAGTGAAATCTCTGCCTTCAAAACAGGGGACCTGACGTTCTTTATTCTTTTTGGTTTTGCTGTGCAGAGTCAAAGGCTTTTCATCACGATGAGGAGCCTTCAGTTCAGTGTGGTAGAACTAGAATTCGCAGTCCACAGGAGATGCTAGCATGTGGGTTTTGGGGAAAAGTCCGACCTAAGCCCGTGCTTTCTCTGCAGGCCTGAACGTACAGGGGCAGACAACTGCTTGGGGAAACTCAGAAGCTGGTGTCTGAACTGTGTGGTAAGTGAAAGCTGGTGTTTTCGTAAGTGCTTTTGTCAACTTTGGTGCTCAGAGGAGGTGCCAAGAGCAGCAAGTAGAGCTTGTCGGAACACCTCTGCGTGTCAGACAAGGGTCCCGACTGGCGAGGCTCGCCCTCCTTGGTGTTTTCCGCAGAGAGGCTCTAGAGGGTGCGAACCGCTGGTCACACTGCCTTGCTGGTGGGAGAGCTTGGCTTGAGATCCGCCACACTGACTTTTCGTTTGACTTGATTGGAATCAAAGGCGACGTGTTAAGCTGAAAATTCAGGATTTTAAGTGCCGGCTGCTGTGCTCTGTAGTTTCTTTAAAGGCTCTGCATAACCGGTTTGGGGTCTGGCGGTGCTGCAGTGGGGAACGGGGGAAGCGGTACCTCAGTCCACTGTGTTTCTTGCGAAGATGGTAGAGTGCGGCCTCGCCTCTCACCTGGAGGTCTTCCTGCTTGTGCTGTTTTCATCACAAGAGAATGCTGCTCAACTCTTGTGGTTTGTTTGTTTCTGGCTTTTTGTTTGTTTTGTCTTGTGAAGTGGTGGTTGTCTTCTAATTCTGCTTGCTCGCTTGCTCCCTGGCTTCTGTTGACCAGACGTGTTGTGCTGAAGCGACTGAGCGTTTTTGCCACCTGCTGTACTTGTTTTGTAAAATGTGCCTCTGGGTTCTGCGTGCCGACAGGAGTGGCCACAGCTGTAAGTGTGGCACATTCCAGAGCGAGCTCACTAACAGGCCTAATTTGAGAGTGTTTTCATTTTTCCCGATGTCCTACAGAGCAAGCTTGCCTCAGACACACCTTTACCTCTTTTATACGCGGTCGGGAGGTACGTTAAGGAGCATTTAAATACGTGTTCCTTGACTGACTATGCTAGTGCCAGTGATTTAAAGTGCACTAAATGCGTGAGCCTTCAGACCGCGTGCTGGTGGTTTCCGCGCTTTATTAGATACGGAACGAAAAGCAAGCAATTATGCAAGTTACCTGGTAAATATTGGCAGTTCTACATAAGGCACAGCAGTGGCAAGGTGGCAGTATTGGGAACAAGAGTTTTGCGAGGTGCAGAAAGCTGAAAATGCTTTATGCAAAAGGGAGGATTGCCACGGGAGATGGGAAGGCTGTTGCAAGGGGCGTGCTGGGGAGCAGGGAGGCACCGTTGCTTTCCTGCAGGTGGAGAGATGGGAAAGGGTGGGAGCCCCAGTTTGGCGAGACAGACGCTGTCAGACAGCAACTGAAAAGTGAAAGGTGTCTTCTCATCCTTTGAGAGAAGGCGAATTCAAATGCTGTCATCCTGCTGCTTTCACACGGAGTGTTTTGTCATCTGTTTGATACTTTCCTCTCTGATAGCGAAATATTTAGCTTACTAAGTCAGAACATCCTGTCTCGCTCACTTTAATGATTCTGCACTTTGGAGGTTTCTGTAAGGTCCTTTTCCATGCTTAATGTCTTACCACATAATTAAAGTGGCAAAGCCGGTGAAAATCCATTTGGACTTAAAATGGCTGGAAAGCCGGCGAGCTTCGCCCGATGGAGCCGTTCTGTTGGTGTTTGTTTCAAGTGGAGAGCTGCAGAGCTGGATTGTGGGGATGCCGTCAGGTGACTGCTGTGGTTACAACAGTAGGCGGTGGGGATCCGAAAGGTTGTGGTTGGCTGTAGCTGGAAAACAGCAGCTTGGGCTGCCTCGGGCCTTCTTGGTGGTGCTTTTTAAGAAAATGTCCGTCTGCGCTTCCTGCTTTGCCGTTTGCTTGAGCTTTAGCTGCTGCTGCTCCACTTTAAACACTCCTCGGGTGTCGGTTAAACAGTGGCGATTCTCCTGTGCGTCTGTGACAAGTAAAGGGGTTTAGCTGCAGGTGCTTCACGACTACAAGTCCTACGGCTTGTTCAAGGCCAGCAGCGTTTTAGAAAGCATTTAAGCTCTTGTCAGAGGCCTGGCAGACTCCAAGCGTTGTCGAACTCGTCGCTTGGTTCACGTCTTCACACCTGGTCTCAATTTCTCTCTCCGTACTCCCCGTTTAGGACTCGGATGAGGAAGACCCATACTGATGAGAGACTAAAGCTGCGGATAAAGAGCGAAATGACAGCACTGAAAATCGTGGCTAGATGGGTGTGAAGGCTGCTGGACAACCCGTGCAGACTGAAGGACCGGCTCTAATCTTGGTAGATCGGAAGAAAAGTGCCGATGGGAAAATTCACTTTTATTTAAGCACAAAGTAATGGTTTTGGAAATCTTTCTGATTTGTTCGGGGGGGGGGAAAAAAATCTCTTAACCTCACTTCTCCAGTGCCTACAGAAACCTCAGTGCCTACAGCTGCGCAGCCTGCTTCCTAGCAGCAGGCTGACGTGTTTCTTAGTTTGCTTGCAGATTTGTTTCCTTTATTGCTGGTGACATCCCTCCTTTCCTGCGCCCTTGAATTCGAATGGCCTGAAGCGCAGGCCGCTCCAGAGGGACGTCAGCTCTGTGGGGCGATCGTCGTCGGGCCCAGTTTTGTTGGAATGTATTTGCTAAGGACTAGAACAGTGTGATGAAGCTGGTATATATACCTCCTTTGTCTTGGAGCGAAGAGAACCTACTGCTTTTTAACTCTTTCTTGGATTGGCCTGCCGCTCAATTACGGGATCACCGTTTTGTTCCTACTGTTTCCTGATTCTGTTTTTAAGTCACCAACTGCACAGTAGTGTTACCTTACGCTGTCCAGTCTTAGCTTTCCTTTTTTTGGGGGGGGTTGTTCGTCCAGCAGCTGCGTTACTAGGTACACCTCCTTCTACTTGTAGAAGTGAAGCACAGTTCATACAGACCTGATGTTTTCGAATCAGAAATGCAAATGGGGACTCTGTATCTGGGGAAACATAACCCCATCTACCTCAGCCGTTGACTCACGCCGGGACCAGAGGAATGTTCCGTGCTCAGAACAGTCGTGTTCTCGTCTCTTCTAGGTACCACTTTAGGGAAGCAGCTAAACATGCATCGTTCGTGCCCGGTAAGGAGGAGTGCTTTCACCAGCCTTGCCCAATAACGGGTGGCAGAGAGCGGTGGCACTCGTGTCTGCTCAGTACCTAACCAGCTGCTGTTTTCCACTTCCTTTCCGTAGGTGGCATTGATCAAATAGTCTCTTTTTGCGTGCCTGTTGTAAGTTTACTGTTGACTTTGATGTGCTGCCACCAATAAATTGCTTTGTTTCAGTCTGGGCTGTGGATTTCTTTATTTGGCTAAATATAGCTGACCTCATAAAACTGCCATCCTGAGTCGCTGCTTAGCTATAGATGTTGTCATCGGAGGATGATGATGATGATGATGGGAAAAGGTGTGCAGGGAGCAGATTTAACTCCCAAGGGGACGCGTACCAGGTCCCCCTTCAGCAGCTCTGTGATGGCTGCCAATCACAGGTATGATGAAGTTCCTGAGCGCAAAGCCGGCCGGCTGTAGGTCTGTGTCTGCAGGTAACGAAATGTATTTTTCTGCTGTCTCCTATGAAGTAATATTTAAAAAGCTCGTGCTTCCGGATGACACAATGTCTCCCGCAACCAAAACTTCCCTGAGAAAGGATGCCGGTGGGTTTTGCAGCCTAGAGGAAGTGGCTTTGTTGTTCCACTTTCAGCACTAACACATCACTCGGGTTCTTTGTGGAAATTATTGACTTGCTCTCGGCAAGATGTTTGCCTTCAACTGCGATCCCTTTGCAAACGGTAGGCGAGATCCCGGGCACATCTCTTCCTGGTGCAAAGCTGAGTTGCCACCTGGAAGCGAGTAGCGTTCCGGGTCCTGATTGGCGTTGAGCATGAGTCAGACCTGACTTTCTCTTCCTCTGCTGGCTCTATGGAAGTTGCTCCATGTAACACGAAAACCACGGATACTGGAGTAGAGAACAGTGATTGCTGTGGTGCTCCAGAGGAAGGGGAAGGATGAAAATACGCTTTCAGGGTGAGCGGGGGGTGCGTGCGTGCCAGCCGAAAGCAGTCCGCGCTGAGCGTCTTGCACGTGCTTCCAAAGGGAGCAGCTGGCTGCGCCGTGGAAAGCGTGTGGCCCGGGGCCCCCTCGCCCCTCAGGTGCCTGCTGGCCCGCCGCCCCCACGGCCCCCACGGCACCAGTGGCGAGGCTGGGTTTTTTTTTGCCTCATCGGGCCGAGACCCGGTCTGCGGGAGTGGTGGTTCTTTAACCACCTCCCATCCCCAAAACCAAACCAGGAGGGAGCGCAGGCTGCAGACGGGCTGCTTGCCAGGAGTCTCCCTCCTCTTGATTTCTCCCGCGACGCCTGATCGGGTCAACCTGCTGTGATGGAGGGGCTGGGGCTGAGCCACATCTGGTACCTGCGAAGGGTCTTCTCCTTAGGAAGCTGCGTGCCCGTCATCTGCTCTCGGGCGTACGCAGCTCTGGTTCTCCTCGCCGCTCCGTAACTGTCCCTTCTGCGTTCTGATTTGTCGGTACCTCAGTCTAGCTCTGAACTTCCTCTTGCAAGTTGAAAGTGACCACCAAGCTGAACCTGAAATAAGAAACTTGAAACCAAAGACTGGTAAGTAGCACAAATGTCTTGCACGTACAACCTCAAGACGATTTAGCAACTGATTCTTTCAGATACTCTGAATTAGCCACTGAAGGAGGCGTTGTGCAAGAGACAAGTTGACTGCCCCAAGCCACTCTAGGTGAGTATTTTTTGCCAAAATATTTACTTTTTGTTTGTTTGTTTGTTTTCCTGAAAAGAACTAGGGAAACATAGAAGTGCTGAGGACTCAGACACCATGTGCAAAAGTAGGAAAATATGGAGGCAGTATGGTATCTATCTATTTTTTCCCCCAAATCTGTTCAGTAAAGGCAGTTATCCTGTGGAAGGATTTGGATATGTCAGCACCATAATGTACATAACAGCCTGGGTGAGTGGGTGCTGTGTCTACAGCTCGTGCACGCACAGCACCCGCTTGCTGGTACGTGTCACAGAGGGAGACCCTGCAAAAAAAAACCCAACCCTGTTCCCAGGCAGGACCAGAATTTATTCTGAGAAATAGGGTAATAAGTTGAGGAGGGATCTGATGGCGAGTGAGGAGCAGAGCCTCAGTAGCTCCAGAGAACTTTTGAAGTTAGGAGTGTAGATACCCCAGTATGCGGGCTCCTGTGTGCTTCATTTTTTTTAAGCTGGCTCCTATTTTGGGCCCTGCGTGGGGGTGGTCCTGGGAGGGTGTAGCTCTGCTTGAGTTCTACGGCTTTTGGCAGCATAGCTGGGAGGTGGGATGCTCTGGCCTGCTGCACCGAGATGTGCTGCAGCAGCTGAGAGCTTTGGAGCCGAGCGCGCGTTTTGCTGCGTCGGCAGGTCGTGTGTGCACAAGCGCGGGTTGTACAGCAAACTGTGTCGTGGCAGGGCGGCAAACAGCGCAGTCAAACCACACGGCTCTCCCCTCCACCTCCAAAAAACCCAACCCCCAAACGGGTCGTGTTCTTTGAAGGGCAGATTTGAGAGAATTCCAGAAGGCTCGATGCCACTTTTCAGTGGTTTGTTTGTGGAAAGGGAGGGGGCGAGGAAGGGCAGAGGTGCTTTTGCCAGCAAGAACACCGTGCACTGACTGGAAAGCCGTAGTTTCTCAGCCTAGAACAGACCCGTGGGTCCCCCAGCAGCTAATTCTGGGCCTGTAATCCCTGTCCGAGCCTGTCTCGGGGTGTTTCTCAGCTTCCTTTGCTGAGGAAAAAAAGCGCATTTGGAAGGAAAAAGGACTCCGCAAACCTGTCTGGCCGTGTAAAGAGATGGAAGCTTTCTTAGGGGGTGAGCAGTGGCAGGGAGGAGGCCTTCCCCGCTCCCGACCCGCGCGCTGCAGAGCCGTGGTTGTTGTCACCCCCGGTTCTGCCTGGAGCGCCGGGGACGCGGGTGCTGCCCCAGGAAACTTGGTGTGTGTCGCTGTGGCTTTCTGCTCCCCAGCACTGAAGGGAACCGTAGATCTCTGAGAGCGATAGGAATGCGGGCAGAGGTTTACCTTACGTATTTACTCCAACTCCTTTCATGGCTGTTTCCTGGGGAGAAATGTCTGGGACCTTTTCCCCTTCCAAGCCTAACTGAACTGACTTGCACAACGGAGGAAAACTGAGAGAAGCTAGCAAGATTTCAGAGATTATTTGCCTCTTGTTGTCTTTCTATTTCTGCAGCAAAAATACATGGGTTGGAAAACATGTGCTGGTGACGGCAGCCTCAAATTCAACTGTAATGTGCAGGTTCTCCAAGTGGGAGGGCTTCTCTCAATAACTTTCTGCCCTTAAATATGTTTATCACTTTTGAGGGGGCCTAACTTTGAATCATGGAGCGGAGCCACAGCAAGCAGGGTACTGACTCCTCCCTTCCTGTGATCCATGCGTGAACACTGGCTGGCATAATCCTGCTGACTGGCTGCAGAGTATGTCTGCAATGTGCAGCGCTGGCGTCTCCTTTCTATTTTGAGAGATGTGCAGCAGGTCAAACTGAATGCAGTGACCGAACGTGGCGTTGTCTGAACGGACCCCGAAGGGTTCCAGCAGAAGTTCTTACCATGTGTCGCACCCTGGAGCAAGCGAGTTATTCCCAGAGTGAGGGGTCTGTGCTTTCAGGACCGAACTTCTCCGAGTATGCAGCACAAAGAACATCCCACTGCCTTCTGAGCAGGGTTAACATCTGTGAACGTCTCAGCTCAGATGCTAGAGGCTCGACCCCCAAACCACCGGAAAGATTCATTACTTAGGGGAAAATGCAAAGATGTTTCAGGGTGAGCCCTCCCCCCCAGCTCGCTCGCTCTTCCTTCCACGGGCTCAGAGCGGTCTCAAACCAGAGACGTAGCTGACATCTGTGCTTCGCTGAGTTTCAGGCTCCCAGCTGGGACAGTGGGTACCTTCGGAGGCTGAACGTCCAGGCAGCAAAGAGCGTGTCCCTCTCCGAAGAACTGAAGGAAACTTTCTTCTGACCTTGGGGTTCAGTTCGGTCGCAAGTTGTTGGTGTCCTGCCCCAGGGGGAACGGATGCATGTGTCCCCTCTGTTGTTCTTTTTAGAGTAAGATGAAGGAGTTGCTGAGCCTGACTCTGGTGCTGACATGGCTGG